AGATAGATAGATAGATAGATAGATAGATAGAAAGATAGATAGATATATATAGAGAGATATGGAGTCTCATGCTGTTGCCCAGGTTGGAGTGCAATGGTGTGATCTTGGCTCACTGCATCCTCCACCTCCCAGGTTCAAGGGATTCTCCTGCCTCAGTCTCCCCAGTAGCTGGGATTACAGGCACCTACCACCAGGCACAGCTAATTTTTGTATTTTTTTTAGTAGAGCCAGGATTTCACCATTTTTTTGGCCAGGCTGGTTTCGAACTCCTGACTTCAAGTGATCCACCTACCTTGCCTTCCCACAATGCTGGGATTACAGGCATGAGCCACAGTGCCCAGCCTGCATTGCCCTTTCATATCAGTAAACCCCTCCCCAGTTGGCCTCCAGTTTTCTGCCCTCAGGGTTACCACAGAAAGTCCTACCATCTTTTTTTGGGGGGGTTGTATTCTGTAGAGACAGGGTCTCATTATGTTGACTAGGCTGGTCTTGAATCCCTGGTCTCAAATGATCCTCCTGTGTTGGTCTCCCAGGTGCTGGGATTACAGGCATGAGCCACCATGCCTGGCCTGTCATCTTTTAATGGGGTACAAGATGTGATTGTCTAATCCTGAATCCCTTGCCTCCAACTTTGTCACTGACCATAATAACTTCATCCCTGGCCCTGTGCCCCCCTCTCACTGGCGTCCCTTTCTCCGTGTGTGACATGGTTTCTTTCCATCTCCCCTTTCTTCTTATTTGTTCCCACCTGATCCCACACCTCATCATCTCCCCCATTTTCTGGTCCTGCCCATCCCTCAAGGTGACTCTTCCCCTGGACCCTCCTGTTGTGCTGCCTGGGCAGCCACTTGTGTTCAGTGTGGATGGGCTGCTCCAGAGGATCACAGTCCGGATCCACGGAGACATCAGCAGCTTCTGGATCAAGAACCCTGCAGGTACCTTTGAAGGCAGGGCAAAGAATGGGGCCTGGGAATAGACAATTGGGGGAGTGTACTCAGGGAGAGCAAGTGTTTCATGTGACAATTTATTCCCTGACCCCAGGGGTCTCCCAGGGCCAGGAAGAAGGCATGGGTCCTCTGGGTCACACTCGCCGCTTTGGGCAGTTCTGGATGGTGACCATGGATGACCCTCTGCAGACAGGAACCTGGGAGATCCAGGTCACAGCTGAGGGCACCCCCGGGGTGAGAGTGCAAGGTAAGGAGGGAGGCGTTCCTGGGAAGGGGAAGGAGAGACTGCAGGCCTCAGAGAGCACTATCAGTCACACTCCTTTAGGGAAGAGTTCTGACTGCCTTTGCCCTCTCCCAGCCCAGACCTCCCTGGACTTCCTCTTCCACTTTGGGATCCCCATGGAGGACGGACCCCACCCCGGCCTCTACCCCGTGACTCAGCCAGTTGCAGGTATATCTATTCTCTGAGCCCCTTCCCACATAACCCCGTTTTTACTATCTCTATATATTTATATATCTATAATGTATAGATGTATACATATATCTATACATATACATAACCTTAACATTGAGTTATAATTTACATAATATGCACTAAAGTGTATAGTTTGATGGATTTCATATAATACGCCCAGTTCAGGATATAGAACATTTCCAGCACCCCAGAACTCCAGCCTGATGCTTCCCATTAGTACCCCTCGAAGGTGACCTCATACTCCCCAGAGGGAACCCCTATTTTGAAGGCCATTAATTCTTTTCTCCCTGTGTCTCTGAATCTCACAATGTTCTCCCCTCCTCGCCCCTGTCCCAGGTCTACAGACCCAGCTGCTGGTAGAAGTGACAGGGCTGGGTTCCAGAGCCAGTCCCGGGGATCCTCAGCCGCATTTCTCCCACGTCATCCTTCGAGGGGTCCCAGAGGGTGCCGAACTAGGCCAGGTACCCTTGGAGCCCGTGGGACCCCCAGAGCGAGGTCTCCTCGCAGCCTCGCTGCCGGCCACGCTGCTGTCCACCCCTAGACCCTTCTCCCTGGAGCTGATTGGCCAGGACGGAGTGGGGCGGCGCCTGCACAGGGCTGCCCCTCAGCCTAGCACTGTGGTCCCTGTCCTTCTGGAGGTAAGATGTTAGGGAAGTTGCGGCTGGGGCTGGAGAGAGTTAGAGCGGCCCCTTCCCTGACGAGCCGTTCTCTGCAGCTTACCAGTCCCTCGGGTTTCTTGGCCCCGGGCAGCAAGGTCCCTCTCAGTCTCCGCGTCGCCAGCTTCTCGGGCCCTCAGGATCTTGACCTTAGGACATCCGTAAACCCCAGCTTCTCCCTCACTTCCAACCTCTCCAGGTGAGGTCCCTGAACCCTTCAGCGCCTTCTGGCATCTTGCCTGACCCATGCTTATCCCAAGTCCCGCCCCTGGCCCCTTCCGATTGGCCCTCAGAATCCTCCTCTCCCCTCCCTTGCCCCTGCAGGCATCCCCTGGCTCTGGGCTCTGGCAGCCTGGGGCTTTAGCCCGACGCCCGTATCCTCTCTCCAGGGCTCACCTGGAACTGAATGAGTCCGCCTGGGGCCGCCTGTGGCTGGAGGTCCCAGACTCAGCGCCCCCGGATTCCGTGGTGATGGTGACTGTGACTGCCGCGGGACGAGAAGCCAGCCCAGTGCCCCCGACTCATGCTTTCCTCCGGCTCCTGGTGCTGGCCCCAGCCGGGCAGGTGAGAGGCACCGCTACTTTCCATCACAGGGTAGGCAAGGCAGGGGGAAGCGTGATGTAGGTTTAATGTGGGTACAGCTCTAGCACACCCTGTCATTCTCCTCCTCTTCCCTGCAGGACCAGCTCGCTGCCCCTACCCACTCACATGACCCTATCTTCACCACGGCCACCCCTGCCTTTTGCCCCTTCACAATGGTGACTCAAGGCAGGGCTGGGGCAGGGCTGTCGGGCAGCCCGTGGTGGGGCACAATTGGAGGGGTGCTGCTTCTGCTAGGCCTGGACTCCTGGTGACACAACAGGCTCTACAGGGATGGGTCTCCAGAACTATTTTCAACCTGCCCCACTGGTAAGAAGACCTGGGACACATTTGCCACATAGGCCTTAGGACCTTGCCTCTCCTAGATTTTTTTTTTTTTTTTTTTGAGACAGAGTCACCATATTGGCCAGGGTGGTCTTGAACTCTGACCTCGTGATCCACCTGCCTTAGCCTCCCAAAGTGCTGGGATTACAGATGGGAGCCACTGTGCCCGGCCAGCCACCATGCCCGGCCTCTTTTGTTTTTTCTTTCTTTCCTTCCTTCTTTCTTTTCTTTTCTTTTCTCTTTTCTTTCTCTCTCTTTCTTTCTTTCTTTTCTTTCTTTCTTTCTTTTTCTTTTTCTCTTTTTTTCTCTTTCTTTCTTTCCTTTTCTCTTTCTTTCTTTTCTTTTTCTTTCTTTCTTTCTCTCGTCCTTCCTTCCTTCTTTTTTCTCTCTCTCTCTCTCCCTCCCTCCCTTCCTTTCTTTTTTTGAGACAGAGTTTTGCTCTTGTTGCTCAAGCTGGAGTGCAATGGCACAATCTCAGCTCACTGCAGCCTCCACCTCCCAGGTTCAAGCGATTCTCCTGCCTCAGCTTCCCCAGTAGCTGGGATCACAGGTGCCCACCACCATGCCCAGCTAATTTTTTGTATTTTTAGTAGAGACAGGGTTTCATCATGTTGGCCAGCCTGGCTGGTCTTGAACCCCTGACCTCATACGATCCACCTGCCTTGGTTTCCCAAAGTGCTGAGATTGCAGGCATGAGCCACCACACATGGCCAATGAAGGTTTTTTTTCTCCACATCCCTTTCCTTTCTTAAAAACTGCGAGACTGGGGGTGAGTGGCTCATGTCTGTAATCCCAGCACTCTGGGAGGCTGAGGCAGGCGGATAGCTTGATTCCAGGAGGTCAAGGCTGCAGTAAACTGTGGTCGCATCACTGCACTACAGCATGGGCAACAGTGAGAGCCTATCTCAGAAACAAAACAAAACAGAAAACCCTGCAAGACTGGGATAGATGGCAATGGATTTTCCCACAATGCACTTTTCCTAACCCTATGAGAAACAAAGACATTTTTGGAGAAAGTTGCTTTCTGGAGCAGCTTCGGTTTTATTTTTGTATTTAAGGCTGAAGGACAGTTTCAATAAACATATCTTCTTCCCAGAGGGATTTCAAAGAAAGACCATTTTTGCATTTCATATAGGGGAGAATGAGGACATGTGACACCAAGAAGATGAAAGAAAGTTTTTAGGAGTAGAGGAGACATGTTACACAGATGTCTGAACTTTATTGACTTACTACCTGGAGCCATTTTTTTAGCTGTTAAGAAGCAGAATAAGGATCCTGGGGCTTCTGACTCTTTCACCAGACTTAGGGGAGTGAGAGGAAGGTTTAGACACGGGTAGGGCCTCTTGGCCCCTTAGGGCAGCCCCACTGAGCCATCTCCTCCTTTGGCTGGGTGAATCCTTTCTGCTGCCTTGACAACTCCTAGAGGAGAGGAGAAACAGACCCTCTGGGCTACTCCCTGCCCTGTAGGGTGTGGCTCCTGCCCTCTCCCTTGAAGTTTACCTGTTGCTGCCACAAGTTCGGCTTCCTTGGTCTTTCCTTTGAATCCTGGGTGGTGCAGGAACTAGCCTTGTTCAGTGTACTTGGGGAGAACTGGAGGGGAAATTCGCTGTGTTTTCTGTTAAGCCAGCACTGACCCCAACAACTCCACTCTCTAGTCCCACTTCCCAAAAGTCTAAACTGAAAACAATAAACTCACCTTCTCCTGAATCAGATTCTGCAAACAGATGTTCACCTTTTGAATCTGGGCTAACTGGGGGCCACCAGGCTCTGGGTGTAAATCTGTTAGAAAATTCTAGAGGAGGAGTTGAAGGCTGACAACATGGTAAAAACCTGAGCTCCATCTGCCACTCTATTCCTGTCACCACAGGCCATCCCTCCCCTCATCTGGATCCCCTCATCCCTCTCAGGCAGGTGGGAAAATCCAATACTCGCACCTCCATCTCTTTAGAGCTGATGTCAGTTCCTCTACCCACTCAAATAGTGCAATAACCCCTTTCACTACTCTTCATGGAGCCTCCCTGTCCATCCCTGCCCCACTGGAATAATCCAGGCCACGCCCTCATCTCCATGGAGTGATCCAAATCCCTCTGAATGGAATGCAGACCAGCTTCCTCCAGCCCCAACAATGAGCACCAACTTAACACTTGGTGGCATCCTGTCATTATGATGCTGCCTCCAACTCATGATCCCTGACCATTAACTCTCCCCTCTCCAGAGTGGTCTCAGGCTGTGTCTACACATTCCCTGCTCCTCCCTCCCTGGCCCTCCCCCAATTCACACAGAGGGGCAGCCCCCTTACCTCACCGAGGGCCCCCAGATGCAGCTGCTGTTGATGTGCCTCCCTCAGACGGTCTTTAAACCAGGTCTGGCCATGCTCTAGCAGCTCCAGCCCCTGCCACAGGGCATCCTGTTCTCTCTCCAGAGCCTGCATCCTCCGCAGCTTGGAAAGGCAAACACAGAGGCCGACTCTTATGCTACAGCAGGGCTCTGGCTCATGGCCCGTCCTCTCCCCCCAATATGGGTTCACTGTGTGGTCACTGAGTGTGAGCCCAGACTGGCCACTGAGGACCTGAAGGGCAAGAGGAGGCAGGCGAGAACACTGTGGGCCCTCAACTTGAGTGGAAATATAAAAGGCAGATCTATGGAGAAAGACTTCCCCTGGGACCTCTTGCTTGGCTGATACTCACCCAAAGGAAGAAGCTCTGGGCCCCTGGGTCTTGGCGGCCTGTCCCCAGCGGCAGCAGCAGGACCGTGTAGGGAGCCTGCACCAAGGGCAGTCCGCCAGGGCCCTGGCTCCCCATGGCTCTGAGGTGGGAAGAGTGGAGCCACTCCCACTGGTGTAGCCTGGACTGGTCCCTCCCCTCCACCCCTGCCTTGCACCCATCCTGCTTCTGTCAGCCTCTCAGGCCCCTTCCTGCTGTGTCTGTCTGAGGCTGGATGTTCCCACTTGAGAAGAGAGACCATCTCCCGTGGGCCTCTCTGTCTTCCCTCTAATTTGTTTTTGTAGGGCCTCTCTGAAGTGGTTGATTCTCATGAAGTCTCCTTGGGTAGAATCCGAGGGTCTTCCTACAGCAATGACACTATTTTTACTGAGGCAGGGCAGGTTCCCCTGTGGATTCCTGCTCTGTGTTTCAGCTCTTTCCTAGTCTCTTTGTTTTGGCTGGCCTAAAGAAACAATACCTTTCTCCAAAATAAACTTTATTCCTAATATGAAACAAAATTTCTAGAGAAACTAAAAATTCTGGGTCTGAAGGAGATAAGAAAACAAAGAGGGCATGGCAGCCCACTGGGGTCTCAGGAGGCTGAGGAGGGCATAGGAAGGACTCTCAGAGGATGCTGGTGGCAGCAGGCAGCACTTCCTGGTTCATGAAAACGTTCAAGTCCAGGTTAGGATCTTCCAAATCCAGTTTCATAAACTTATCCACTAATGTCTGGCAACTGAAGAAAGAGAAAATAGTGAGATTTATGGGAGAATGGACAACCAAGTCCCTGTGCAGAGGGGAGAGGCTGTGGCACAGAAAACCTGGGATCTTGAAGATTTAGGGGTTTCAGAAAGAAATGATGGGTTTCTGAAGGGCAAAGTGCTGGAGGAAGGATGAGTCCCTGAAAAGGGGAGAAGAGCCATAGGAGAAGATGCAGAGAGTGAAGACACTGGGGCCATGCACTCACTTTTCCATTTGGTTCTTTTTTAGCAAATCCTTGACAGGCTTGATGGGTTTTCCACTTCGGATCAAGTCTGAGACCTAGGAACAAGCAAGAAGGTTGGAGGGCTGAGGGGAGTTGGGGAAGAGAAGGGGAAATAAGGGTCAGAAATTCTGTGGACGTAGACCCAGGTCCCAGTAGGAGTAGGAATGGAAGGGAGCTCTGAGGTGGAGGTGGTTGTGCATTTGGATCTCATCACCTCCTTGCCACGAGCCACGAGTCTGTTGGGAAGCCCAGCCTGGATAGCTGTGTGGGAGGCATGGCTTGCCTTCGCCACACCTTCGCAAACCTGATAGAAGAAGACAAGGTCATTGCCATCCTCACAGGTCTCCATGGTCTTAAAAGAGAATAAAAGACAGTATATTGTCAATCACCTCCTTCCTGTCCTGAAACCTTTGGCCAATCCCGTGGGGAGGGAGAAAAGGGAAGGGATGTGATCTTTGTACTGAGGGAGCCCTTGTTCTGACAGAGGAGCCAATCTCCACCGCTGGGAAATTCAGAGCCTAGGGGCCCCTGAGGGACTAGATTGATCTCCTCACCAAATACTGCACCAGGGGTCCTTGTGGCAGCAGTTGTAGCTGAACAAGGCTCAGAAAGTTGGTGGCCACAAAGATGTGGGGGCATGTGCGTCCAAGTGCCAGCCAGTGTCGGAGCACAGCGGCCAGAAGTGCAAGCCCATCCACCTGCAAAGAAGGCAGAGATTAGGGTTCAGAGCCATGGGGATCCCATGTGTCCCTCTGCACTTGCACTGGCCTTTCCCTGTCTTATGTTCTGTTTCTTTTCTGCCCACACAGCCCTATTCTATTCCAGAGGTCCAGCCTCACTCTCGTGCTCCTTCATCCTCCTCTGTTTTCCCCTCCTTAGTTTCTCCCCTTATCAGCTTCTCCCCTCACCGTGTTGGTTCCCTTTCCAAATTCATCAATGAGGACCAGCGACTGTGCAGTGGCATTGTTCACTGCTTTCGCCACCTGCTGGGCGTAAGGTGGACAAGGGAAAGTTAGTATTGGAGGCCTGTAATGCACTGACCACAGTTGACCTGTGAATAAAGCTGTATATGTGACATCCCCACTGCACTGCAAGTTCTAGAATGGTGAGGTGCATGCTTTGTTCATCCTCTCTTTGCCAACAGTGACTCACACGAAGCAAGCATTCATAAAGTGTTTGTGTTGGGAGGCCGAGGCGGGCGGATCACCTGAGGTCAGGAGTTCAAGACCAGCCTGGCCAACATGGTGAAACCCCATCTCTAATCTTTAAAAGAAAAAAAAACATAAAAAAATAAAAATAAAATTAAGAGGTATTTGTGGTATTGATTCTTTCTGTCTCTGACCCTAGTGCTTCCCAATTTTAGTATAGAGGGTATGCAGCAGAGGGCATGCTTTCCTGTTCTGAGCATTTTCAGGGGTTCCTTCCCCATTACCCGCTCCCTCAATCCCACCTCCCTTTGCTCCCTTTGACCTGGTTGAGGTCGATCATGAAGGTGGAGAGGCCAAGGGAGATGGATTCACAGCTATGTATTCGCGTGAAGATGGCATCTACTGCCCCAATTTCAGCCTCCTCTGCTGGCACAAAGCTGCCTACCAGGGCCATGAATACGATCAAGCCTACCTGAATAGGGAAGGAGACAGGGCCTTGGGGGCCTGGTGCTATGGGCTGAGGTGAAAGAGAGGCTCAAGGCATGAATGACAGATCAAAGAGAGATAGAGTGAAACAGGAAAAAAAGGTAAAGAATACACTGACTCTGTCTCTCCTCCCCCAATCCTGATCATAGCCCTGTTGGCTAATTTAGGATCAGTAAAGAGGCATGGGACATGGGCAGAGACATACTTGGGAGTAGCGTGTACCTACTCAGAGGCGGGTGGAGGAATTTGAGCCATGGAAAGTTCCATTAGAGCATGGCTCTCTAATAGAGAATGAGAACATGTGAGATGGAAGCACACGGTCCTTTCATGAAGGGTGGGGTCAAAAAACAGGGGACAATTGCTTCAGGAGCCTGGGTTGGGTGTTGCAAGTAGGGGTGGAGTAGATGCAGAAGATGCCAGAGGCCCAGGCTGTAGGGCTTCTCCTCACCTGTTTGAGGTATATGCTCTTCCCTGATGAGTTGGGTCCGGTGATGACTTTGACCCTTCCTTTGTCCCCACCACATTCTGTGGAGTTGGGCACAAAGGTTCGGGCACAGAGTTCCATCAGAGGATGTCTGCAGTGGGTGGAGAGGCATCTTGCATAGCTTGTGGATCAAAATGGATGAAGCCCCAGAAGATGGAGCCTTTGGACCCCTCATGTTTATTCCTCCACCCACCTCTATTCTTACCTGCCATTCTGGATTCGTACCCCAAGGACTTGCGGGGAGTAACGGGGCCTTGAGTATCCATAGTCCCGGGCAGCACTGGCAAGAGCCAGCAGGACATCCAGGCGGGAGGCAAGGTCTAATACTCGGGTTAAGACAGCTGCTCGTGCCAGCACCTGGCACTGCAACTGGTACATCAGCAGCGTCTCCTGGTCTGAGAGGGGGTGAGGGAGGGAGCTGGAGGTCAGCTCCAGGGGAAACTGAAGGAGAGGCAGAGGCCCCTGGAGGGATCTGGAAACAGGTGTGCAGATAAAATCTGAGACCTCAAGACATTCAGAGGAAAAGATACAGAGTCAGAGTGAGAGAGAGAGAGTAGGAAGAGAAGGGGCCTGTCGGAAACATTCCCAAGTTGTCCACTCTCCTCCTGCCCCTGGCTGCTGCTTTTTTAAAAACATCTTACAATGCACATAACCTCTGGCTCCTCCTTACCCCGGATCTCACAGTGCAGGTCCCCCAGCAATGCATCCAGCTCCTTGGTTCGGGCACTACGATAGTGAAGCTTCTCCTCTGAGAGAAACTGGGTACCGGGGTTCAAAACTGTGGGCTTTGCATCTCTTGGTCCTCCTCTTCTTCCTCACTTTTCTAACCTCACCTCTAGCCCCTAACCCTGACTTCTCTTTCCTTTGCCTCAGTGCTGGTAAAGCTCAGAATAAAACCACAGAGGAGAGATCCCATACTGGGCAGTGCTGCTATGGGGTAAGGCCCTCCCTCAGCTGCTGACTCATTTTCCTTATCACTCACCTACAGAGGTTAAGGGTCTTACCATGAAGTCCAGTCCATCAATCTCAAAGTCACTGGCCTCTACCATGGAAGACAGGCGAGGAATACAAAGAAGGAAGCCGATCTGGGGAGAGTAAAGAGGAGATACTCAACTCTCCTGCTTGGAGACTTACTGGACACCTCCTCTCCCTAGAGGAAGCTTAAGAGATCCCTGTATCCCCACAAAAAGGTGTTCATGTTCTTCAGGCTGCCCCATAAGTTTTCTTATCTACCAGTGTGTCTTTCATAAGCTATCTCCCCCAAAAGACCTCTGAAGGCTACACCCACTCTCCTACCCTCACCAGAGGGATATAGATGACACTGCATGAAGGAATACGGGAGTCCAGATTCTCCAGCTCCTTGCGGGCAATCTCAGTGAGGAAATTGGGAAGTCCCATCAATCTTCGCTTTTCTACGAGGGTGGAAGACGTGGTTATCAAAAGTGAGGCTCCTGCCCTGGTTGCTATAAAGATCCCCAGCTGTGGTGACCACCTGCCAAGGACGGTAGTCCATCCCTGCACAGGGCTCACAGGCCCATCCTCACCCAACACTCACTGTCATCAATTTCAGGATCTATGTTGGGGAGGACTGTGAAGCGATTTTCAGCAAGACTGCCCTCAAAGTCTACCTGAGGAGATAAGAGGTACTGCTTCTTAGCACCCGGTACCCTCTTTCTGTCCTGTTCCTCAGCTCTCCTTGGGCCCCAATTCTCCCTGCAGTCCTGCTTTAACTCTCACCCTCCAGATACTTCCCTGAATTTCTGCCACCTCCTCTCACCATTCCATTCTTTAACTACCCAACTGACCTCAATAACTCCCATGCTTCCCCATCTCGCACACTGCATTCCCTGGGCTCCAGTCCCTCTCCTCTCTCTCCGACATCCCTGGGTGCGCTCGCTCTTTCCTTCCACTCACTACTTTCCCAATGAGGCTGGCGATATGGTGCAGGTCATCAGAGAACTCTTGGGCAATGTCCCGAAAGAGCTGGATGGACTTCGGCAGGGAACGGCAGGCATCCCTCAGGCCCAGGGCACTGTACACAGTCTGTGAGAGAAACACAACAAGGAGGGCAGCCCATATGCAGCTCAGGTTGAGGTAGGGACAGGGACAAACTCAGAAGAACAAAGATCAGCAGAGAAGATCACAGTAACAAAGAGGGAAGATCTCAAAGGCAAAAAGAAACAGTGAGACAGAAAATGGCATCTGTAAAATTCGATGCCAGGCACTATGCTAAACCCTGCAGCTACAAAGACAATTAAGATACGGTCCTGGCTCAGCACGGTGGCTCACACCTGTAATCCCAACACTTTGGGAGGCCAAGGTGGGAGGATCGCCTGAGGTCAGGGGTTTGAAACCAGCCTGGCCAACGGGGCAAAACCCTGTCTCTACTTAAAATACAAAAA